CATCAATAAATATTTGGGGGAATAAAGAAGGGGTTTGGGGAGTTGGAAGGCTGGTGTGTGCAGAGTATAAATATAAATATTTCTCTCTCTCTCTGGTGAAAGGGAAAGGGAGGGGTCGTGGAGGGAATTGGCGGGTGGGTTTGGGTGGGTTTGGGATGGCATAAACACGAGTGTTTTTTTTTGTGTGTGGGGGGGGGGGGGGAGAGGGGGGGGGTTCCACTTCTCCGTCTTTCTCTGTCTCGTGTCTTTAAGACCAACACAAAAACATCGACCTAAACGGTGTGTGTCTCTCTGTCTCCCTCTCCCAGGATCGCCACGACGGTGTCAATGGGAGTCACAGCGCCCGTTTGGCCCAACTGGGGTCCATGAGCCAAACTCCCTACACGGCAGCGCCTCCTCTCTCTCACACCCCCTCCTCAGACTTCCAGCCGCCTTACTTCCCACCGCCTTACCAGCCTCTGCCTTACCCCCAGAGCCAGGAGTCCTACCACAGCCACGTCAATGACCCCTACTCCCTGCCCAGCCCTCTCCACCCGCCCCAACAGCACCCCTGGCCGCAGCGCCAGCGGCAGGAGGTGTCGGGGGAGCCGGCCATCCTGCACCAGTCCCGGGGGCTCTCACAGCTCGCCAGCCTCGACCCCCGCCGCGACTACCACGGTGTCCGCCGGCCCGATGTCCTCCTGCACTCCGCTCACGGCCTGGACGCCACCGGCCACGGGCTGGCGGACTCCCTGGCTCTCCACGCTCTCAGCCACCCCGGCATGGAGGAGGTAAGCTCTCACACCTGCTCACACTCACTCACTCACTCACTCACCCACTCACACTGAGAGCCTCCCCCCCCCCACCACAGCCCCCACACACACTCACACACACTGAGCCACTCACAAACACTCACACTCTCTCACACACACACACACACACAAACACACACCGTGGAGGAGGTAGGCTCACACCTGCTCACACTCACACCTCCCCTTGCTCACACTCACTCACTCACTCACACACTGAGAGCCTCCCCCCCCCCCCCCCCACACACACACACTGAGCCACTCACAAACACTCTCTCTCTCTCTCTCTCACACACACACCACGGATGAGGTAGGCTCACACCTGCTCACACTCACACCTCCCTTGCTCACACACACTGAGAGCCCCTCTCAAACACTCTCACTCTCTCTCTCTCTCTCACACACACTGAACCACTCACAAATACTCACAAACGCACACTCAGCCACCCCGGGATGGAGCAGATAAGATGTCACACCTGCTCACACCTCCCAGCTCACACACTCACACCCCCTCACACACTCACACACTCACACCCCCTCACACACTCACACACTCACACCCCCTCACACACTGAGAGCCCCTCACACACACAGACACACCAGGCAGCAAGTTTAATAATAATACTAACATAATAATCCTTGCGTTTGATAGAGCGCCGTGTTACGCCTTTGAGACGTCTCAAAACGCTTCAAAGAATATATTGCAAAGTGTAGTGACTGTGTATTTTGCGGGCGGAACGCGGCAGCCAATTGCGCACAGCAGCGTCCCCGCAAACAGTCGTTTGCTTACTCCGGGAGGAGGAATGATTTGGGGCTTAAAATGAACCCAAATAAATGTTCGAATACCCCCCCCTCCCCCACCCCCCCCCCCACCCCCTCAATTCCTTTAATTTACTCAACATTATTCGGGTACTATTGCATGTGTCAGATATTTAAAAATAATATTAAAAAAAACCAACGTAGATTTACAGGATACAATACTAACTGTGTGTGGAAGTGATAATAATAACAACAACAACAATAATAATAATAATCCTCGCAGTTGATATAGCGCCTTATCGCATCGTCGAGACGCCTCAAAGCGCTTCACACAATAACACTGTAGTGCGGATCGACTGTGTCCTCTCTGATCCGTTTTGAGCTCTCGGCCGCGCTCTCTGGGACCGAAAAGGACATTAAATCGGAGCAGAAACTCGTTTAGAAAAGACTGCGTTTCCCGTTTTACTCTGAATTCCCGGAGTCGAAGTCCCCGTTTAGCAAAACACCCAAAATACCGCAGACACTGGAAATCTGAAAACAAAAACAGAAGATCCGTTTAATGAAATGATAAAGGGATAGAATTGATTCCAACGCCATCGAATCAATGTTTGTTTTTACCATCGAACCACTGTGTAGAAACTGGGACGATTTAACGCAATATATGTCGTGTGTGCGCGTGTGTATATATATAATACATATATATACATATATATATATATATAACACCCCCCACCCCAAGAGATGTTGCGAGAATTGTTCTTTAAACGTTATATTGCGAGCTAATCTGGAAAGTCAAACGGGGAGATTAATCAGAGGCATTAAACCATTTTGGTACAGGTTAAACCCGTGTGTCTTTTTGGAATGAGAATCCGTTTGACTCCGCTGTGCAGAGAGGGTTCCGGGTAGTAAAGGATTGGTTATAATTTACGCGCACACACACACGCATATATATATATATATATATACATATAGATAATATATATAATCTATATCTTGGTGAACAAAATGTGGCATTGAGAGAGAGAGAGAGAGAAAAACTCAGAGAGAGAGAGAGAGAGAGAGAGATCCCTCGGTAATAACACACTGTGTAAAATAATGAGACATTTATCAACAGAGTCGCTCTTTCATTGACACGCTTTGCGCAGTGTGTGTGTGTGTGAGTGTGAATGAATTTTTTTTGTTACGCCAAAAGCTGTGTGAAGGATTTATATGGTCTATTGGGCTGTGCTTAAACCGTGTCTGGATTATCGTAATACAAAGTGACAAGTTTTGTGAAAGCAAAGGGTTTGGGGTTGGAGTTGGGGATTGGGAAGGTAACGTATAATCACAGTAAATCTCCAGCAGTCCCCGTCGCTGGTGCCCCATTTCCAGGGCTGTTTCGTTGGGAACAGCGACGGTACCCACATATTTACTGATCCAATCCAATCCAATCCAATTCACCGTTGAATTTCTCCCCTTATGATCCCAAGTGCGCAATGGGCCGCCGCGTTTCGCCCACACACACAAAAAATACATATACAGTCAATTCACTTTACCGTCTATTCTGCGAAGCGCTTTGAGACGTCGAGGAGACGTGAAAAGCGCTGTACCTCATGCCAGGATTATTACTTATTAGTATTTTAAGGTCGGGGAGAGGCTGGGAGTTGGGAAACCTCGCGCAGAGGTGCCTGACAATCCGAAAACACGCGCTTTAGTCATTACCAGAGTCCAGAAGAAAAATAATTGAAGGCAGACCAGGGTAATAAGAGGCATTTTCCTCCCCACACACCAACAGATTAGCCCACGCGGAGAATTTCGTGTCGTTTGCATTTGTTGTCGACATCGTCGCGTATTTAGCAAATGAATACAATCCCATCAACACACATTAATACATACAACCAGAGCCCAGAGAATAACACAGTCGCGTTCGGAATCAGTTAACCAATGAATTAGGTCAATTAAATTAAGGCAAAGTTTGAGCTAAAGAAGTATCCTGGATATCTCTCTCTCTCTCTCCATATATATATGTATATATGTATATATATATATATATATATATATATATATATGGGGACACATTCCGGATTAGTTCAGTTAATGTGTGTGTGTGTTGTGGAGGCAGTGACTGCTGTGGAGAGGTGAGGAGATATATTATAACCCGTTGCTCCCTGTTTTGTGGGTTTAGCGAGTCTCTGGTTCTCGATAGATTGTTTCCCCTAAAATCTTTATATATACCTTTATATTTATTATATAATTCTCGGATTTTGCCATCCTCCCCCCCCCCCTCTCTCTCTCTCTCTCCCTGCCCCACTATTCACTCTGTGTTGTTCCACTTCCACTCCATTGAAGACAAAACAAAACAGGGACAATTTTTTTACGGCGGGGGGGTGGGGGGCAAAAGAAAGGAAAGGATGGGAGAGAATCGTTTGCTAATGGAAATGATTTAACATTACAACAACAACAACAGCAGCACCGGCTTGGGGCAGAGCTGAATCTCAGAGCGCTTAAGTAAAGTAAACTAAAGAGGGCAAACTCGCTCAGTGACTGCTTTGCTATAGTCGGGGAACTCAACTCAACTCAACTCTGTGAACACCAGTTCTCTCTGTCTGTGTGTGTGTGTGTGTGTTTTTTTTACACACACACACACACACACACACTTGAGTCTGTTCTTAAGCCTTTTCACAACCGGTCCAAACCCACAGCACCAAAACCATAGCATCAAACTAGAATTGGTCTCCCGCGGTCTTCAGTAACATTCAGTTGATATCTCCTGTGATGTGTATCATGGGAGTGTTTTGCTTTTGTTTTAGTGTGTAACTGCTCTCCCGGTCTCTGACACACATTTGCCCCTTTCTGTCTATTAATTTCTTTCTAGGATTTTTTTTGTGTGTGTGTAAGTGTGTGTGTGTGTGGGGGGGGGGGGGGGGGGGGGCGGAGAATTCCATGCGTCGCACCTACCCATAGAGATCCCCAGAGATACTATCTGTTGGAACCAAATAATCCTTAACTTCTTAGGCTAAAGTTTGACTGACTGACTGATTGACCGATGGGTTTGAACATTGATGAATCCATGAAATAATAATAATGATCTGTAGCGTGTGTGTGTGTGTGTGGGGGGGGGGGGGGGGAGAAAGTTTAATTATCGGATGTTACTTTACATTTCTATTTAGCCAAACAATCCCCCAGGATATATTATATATATACATATATAATTTGATACAGCGCTTTATCACGTCTTTGAGACGTCTCAAAGCGCTTCACGGAATATACTGTACGGTGTAGTGACTGTGTATTTTGTGGGCGAAACGTGGCAGCCAATTGCGCACAGCAGCGTCTGTCCCGCAAACAGCCGCGGAATCGAAGTGACCACATTTTTTTCTGCTCTAAAGTGTATCCCAATCCTTGTGACATGAACACACACACACACACACACACACAATAATTCCCACTGTGTGTGAGTGTGTGTATAAGCGCCGCTTGTAACCAGAATAGATTCCAGACTCCATTATACACCGCAGCTATAATATATATTATAATATATTATAATATAGTGCTCGCGTTTTCATCGATGCCCCATATCTTTCGTATTGAGGCTGACATACAAACCACACGGTTCCACAATTTATCGACCCTTTTTGTACCGTCAGAGTCAAACAGGTTTCTTTTTTTGTTGTTGCAGAATTATCAAAAAAAAACATTTTAATTCAAATTAAAACGGGATTAAAATAAAATACACACAGATGAGTGCGGTCTTTATATATATATATATATTTTCCCCCCAAAGTTTATTAGTTTACAACCGCAGTTATTAGTTTTATTAGTTCCAGCGTTTAACAGACATCTGAATTCTGGGTTGAAGGTACTTTTTATATTTTGGTATCAATTTTCTCCGTCTCCCTTTTATTTTCAATTGCCCTTTCTCACTCAGGTGCAAAGCCAAACGGTACGTGACATTTTTGCAGTGTCTGGGGATGCAATGATAAGTGATATTTTCCACATTTAATTTAATTAAACTGCTATTAATCTGACGATTTGCTGAGAGAGAAACGAAGTAGACATTCCCTCTCTCTCTGTAACGCACAAACACACAATTACACCGCGTTTACAGGAGCACAAGTTACTCGTCATCCGATTTAACTGTGTGTGTTATTTGAAGTCAAAGATTGAGGATTTAATGTACAGTATTTCTTTTTCAAACATATATGCATTTGTGTTAAAATAAATATCAGGAGAGAGTGATTCTGTGGCCTTTTATTTAATAATAATCCTCGCATAATACTGTACATCTGTGGCAAAAAGTGTCCTGTAGCAAACCAGGAAGGTATTCATTTACACGTTTAATGTCAGATTATTTGTACTTTTTAACGATGAAATAATAATAATAATCCTCGCGTTTGATATAGCGCCTTACAAAGCCTTCGAGACGTTTCAAAGCGATTCACGGGATATACTGTAAAGTGTAGTGACTGTGTACTGTGCGGGCGATATTTCAGCTGATGAGAAAGTGGTGGGAATGTGGGTGTCAGTGTCGGTGTTAGTAAATATTTAACTTCAAAGCATTAACATTATGCGTCGAATCTATGAGCTGAGTTTCCGTGACTATGTATATTTTTTTACAAGTTGATTTATGTCTCTGTCAGACAAGGAGATGCCGTCGTGGCAAACCATGAAGGCAATTTTTTTTAATCCAAATATCATTTAACTCTTGTGTAGAATTTACCTCGTGACTGTCTATCTTTCTCTCTCTCTCTCTACCCACTGTCCCAATATATTGTTTGCGCCTCAAACAGATTCCGACCTTCACATTTCAGACAGAAATATTATCAAATGCAACGATTATTATGTTTGACACACCGAATTGGACTTTAATTAAAAGTTTGTGGTTTTGCCCATCTCTATTATAGGTTGGAGTTGAATATATTTTCATGAGTTGGGCTGAAACGTGATTTTTCCCCAAATATATATATATATACACATATATACATATATATAGAGAGAGAGAATTACATTCAGAGAGAGAGAGAAAGAGAAATACAGTCAGATAGCGAGAGTATCGATCACACACAGATATAGAGAGAGTTACAGTCACACACAGAGAAGGAGTTACAGTCAGAGAGAGAGAATTACAGTCTCACACACACACACACACACACACAGAGAAATGCAGTCAGAGAGAGAGAGAGAGAGAATTACAGTCACAGAGAGAGAATTACAGTCACAGAGAGAGAATTACAGTCTCACACACACACACACAGAGAAATGCAGTCAGAGAGAAAGAGAGAGAATTACAGTCACAGAGAGAGAATTACAGTCACAGAGAGAGAATTACAGTCACAGAGAGAGAATTACAGTCACAGAGAGAGAATCACAGTCACAGAGAGAGAATCACAGTCACAGAGAGAGAATCACAGTCACAGAGAGAGAATCACAGTCACAGAGAGAGAATCACAGTCACAGAGAGAGAATCACAGTCACAGAGAGAGAATCACAGTCACAGAGAGAGAATCACAGTCACAGAGAGAGAATCACAGTCACAGAGAGAGAATCACAGTCACAGAGAGAGAATCACAGTCACAGAGAGAGAATCACAGTCACAGAGAGAGAATCACAGTCACAGAGAGAGAATCACAGTCACAGAGAGAGAATTACAGTCACACACAGTGAGGGGGGTGGGGGGGGGGGGGGGGGGGGCAGGAGTCAGGACTTGCACTGTGGACTTGCAGAGATCAGGCAGCTTTACTGTTGATGACTTCCTGCTCTGGGAGCAGCAGATCCACACCCCGGGACAGCTTGTAAAGTGCCCGCATCAGTGCACACAGAGCCGGGGTGTCTCACTGTGAACCGGGAGGGCACAGAGGGTCGGGTTAATGGGCAGAATCCACGCAAATGTTCGACCTTCTTTTTCTTTACTACTTTTTTTTTAACAGGAAAATGCTGACTGCACAAACCCCTTAACATGTTACCAGACACCTTGACTTAACCACCTTGATTTTTTATTGATCCCCTCTCTCCACACACACACACACACACACACACACTATTGCCCCCACTCCACCCCACACACATACAACCCACTCCCCCCACACACACATACATACACACTCCCTCTCCCCACAAACACACACACCCCACACATATACACACACTCTCTCTTCCCACTCACACACACACACACACACACACACACACACGTCGATGTCAAATGCAAGGATTATCATTCAACTTGTACTTTGGGTAACTTTAGGAGATTTAGGGATTTAGCAATTTAGGGGATTTAGGAATTTAGGGAAAAAAAACACAGTAATGTGTCATTGCCTCAACACACCTTAAAGACTGACTGTGCGATTTAAGCTCCAATTACAATTGAATGATTAAAGCAGAGAAGTGAAATTGATACAGTAATAACTAACACTCACAGATTACTGTTTGCTCTGGGACACAAAAAAACAAGTGAGGTTGTCAGTAAATCCCCAGTTCGACATGAATTCAATCCGATTGCCACCCAATTATGCGTCAAAACAAAACAAAAAAAACTTAAGTCAGGAATAAATAACAATATGAAAGGGAATTCTCATTGCTTTGAATTGAATACAAAAAGCAGCCAATCGCTCGTTCAAAGCCACTTGGTGTTCAGAACAGAATGAAGTTTACTTCACACTACATTGTGAGAGTCTAAAAAAGAAGTGTTCTTTCTTATTAAGTTCCACCGGGCAACAAACATCATACATGTCATGCAGTCAATTTTAAAATAAAATGTAAAAGTCTGGCGGTTTATTTCTTATAAATAGATATACATAGACATAACGCTGATGCAATTTCTTGCTCTGATTGAGTTAAAAACAACAACATCTTGCATTTAAACGTGTTCTGGTTTATTTCAAGCTTGTGTGTTGTTGGGAAAATAGGTCTGAATGTTAGTTAGTGAGGAGTCAGTGTGAACTGTAAAGAAATAAATATGTTTGTTCACCTGACTGTGTCGGGGAATATATATAATATAAACTGTGTATATATATATATAGACAATTAACCCAATCCCCATTCCCCATATTGCCTCCCATCATCATGTGTGTTTGAATGTGGTGACTCTTACACTTGCAGTCCAGGCTCAACCATCGGTAATAGTAATTACTATTATGAATTAATTACAAACTATACACACACTTAGGGTTAGGGTTAGGGTTAAAGTGATGGGCAAAAGACTGGTTAAAAGGAGGAAACGAAACGGGTTTGGATTCTGGAACCCTCTCTGTCGATCAGAGAGATAGAGAGATAGAGAGAGAGAGAGAGAGGTGTTGAGGATGAGAGTGTTTCTGGTACCAAGTCTGTCTGTGCGAATCTCTCTCATCAAACCAAATCCCTACTTCCTTTCGCTCACATCGCCTTACGCGCGTTTCGTAAATCTGCACCTATTTCCCCCCCTTTTGGAGAGAGGACGAGTCGCAAACCCCTCTCACTGAGCAATGCAGATCCCAGTGATCACTGCACATCTCCTGTGGTCGCAGAGGCGAGTGTTGGGACAGCACAACCAGTCCCAGTGCTTTTGTTCCTATCACATCGGGTCATTCGCACACGCTTGTGGAAAAGAGCGCTTAATAACCTCCCCAAACGCTGTATGTCTGGTTCTCACACCACAGCCTCGACGGGTCAGTTTGTTGGGAAGTGAAATAGGATTTCCTGCTGCTGATGATGATGGTGATGATGATGCAGTACTCCCCGAGTGATCATAAACCAGCAGGACATAGGGAGCCAAGTGCTCCCCCAAACCAGGACCGGTGTGTGTCTGTAACATCTGCTTTAACTCTGACACACACTCACAGTCACATAGACACTCACAGTCACATAGACACTCACACACACACACACTCACAGTCACATAGACACTCACACACACACACACTCACAGTCACACACAGACACTCTCACACACACACACACTCACAGTCACATAGACACTCACACACACACACACACACTCACAGTCACACATAGACACACACACACACACACACACACACAGGCATTGCCCAGTGCCCACTATGACAAGTTGGCCTCGTTGTTATGTAGACAGAGCCAAGAAAAAATAATAATAATTCATAATATTTATAATAATCCTTGCATTTGATACGGCTTTCGCAGTCGTTAAGAGATACCTAGAGGGAGATAGATAAATGGATTGATAGATGGATGGATATAGATAGTTGGAGAGGTTGATGGATAGAGATAGATAGGTAGAGAGAGACTTTGTGGGCAGTGAGGACAGTTGAATCTATCCCAATGGGCAGGTGGGGAGGAAGGGAAGGTGTGGGTGATGGAAAGAGAGAAAATGTTGTTATATTCGGAATCTGTTCATCTTAAGTGATCTGTTTCTTTTTTTTCTTTCCCTTTGGTTTATCTTTCTTTTCCCCCTTTACAGTCTGTGGACGACACCGGCAGCTCTGGGATGCACATATTGGATCAGTCTGTGATCAAAAAAGGTAACCCATCTCTTGTTTGCTTGTTTGTTTTGTTTTGTTTTGTTTGTTTGTATGTGTTTTTGAGCCTATGCTGAATGAATTAGCGCTTATTTCAATCATTTCATTTGTGAGAAATACAGGGTGACCAAAAAGTTGTGACGCCTTTACAATGTCTAATAAGTCTTAAAAAAATTATGGTTATATATATTTTTTGGGGGGTGATAGGGTAGATATCAAGATTTTTTGGTCACCCTGTATATATATTCTTGTAAAGGGGATAAGCCACTCAGGAAAACAATATATATATATATATATATATTCATTTATCCATAAAATTGCTACCAGTTTCTACAAAAACTGATAACACACACTCAACAAAATAGACCTCTGCACTGTTTCTGTGTATATCCCCACCTTCTATCTACTGCAATGTTACCTTTATTGGTTGCTTTATGGTTGATAACATCTCCCTCAATTAAGTTGTGTCCATTTAACGCTGTAAACGTGGGCAAGTTATGGCTGGGTTACAGCGTTACTAGGTAGAAATGTTTCTCTGAACTTATCCGCAACTTAGAATAATAATAATAATCCTTGCATTTGATATAGCGCCTTATCACATCTTCGAGACGTCTCAAAGCGCTTCACAGAATTATACTGTAAAGTGAATTAACTGTATATTTTGTGGGCTCAATATGCAGGGATCAGGACAATAATTTGCCCGTCTCTGTTCCTGTTTGCTAAAGGCAGAGGGCCTAAATTAAAATAATTTAGTGAGGTTACAGGGGGAGCTTTGTACACACAGAGATTACATGATAGACCTGGTTACACATATCCAGTACCACATGGGTTCTGTTTCTCTCCTCCCCAGACCTGATCTTAGTTATGACAATAATTTCCCAATGCCGAGAACAGGGATAGCTTCCTTATCTTTGCTATTTTTATTAAGTACACACACACACACCACACAAACACACACACGCCTACAACTTGTAAAAACCTAGATATAAAACCTGTAGCTAAAGTACACAATGGTTAAAAGCTTTTTTTGTGTGTGCATGAGGACATTTATTGAGAGTTGATGTACTGAGCGGGACCAGACTTGTATTGTATTGAAGGCTTCTTATAATAAAAGTGGTGAAGTTTGCTTAGAGCACAAGGCAGTCTGACTTACGCGTACACAGCAGTGCCCTGGGACAGGTAAAAATTATATGTTGAAACTGCAATTAACTCTGAGGCTCCGCATTTTACCAAAGTCTTGGCTTCTGAGACCGTTCTACGTGTGATCCTGGCAGTTGAATGTGATAAAACACCGACCCCCATAGAAAGTTATAGCACAGAAGAAGGCCATTGGTCCATCTTGTCTCTGCTGCCTCTTTGGAAAGAGCAATCCATCCGTTCAGCCCGATTTACCTGCTTTTTCTCTTTCTCCTTTTCCTCCCGTGGACAGTTCCCCTTTAGATATCTATCTGGTTCCCTTTGAAAGTTAATATGGATCCTTTCTCGACCGCCGAGTGTGTGCGTGTGTATGTGTGCGCGCAGCAAAAATTCTAATCTCTTCCCTTTGCGACCTTGCTAACTCGCCCACTTGTCACTGAAGATGATCCAGCCAGCGTGTGCCAATCACAAGTTTACTTCAGTGTGTCTGCGTGTACGTGTATGTGTGTACGTGTATGTGTGTGTGTGTGTGTGTGTGTTTGTGTGTGACAGTGAGGAATAAAATGTGTTTGATCCCAGTGTGAGGCAGTGTTAAAACCAGAGTGCGTGTGATTCAGTGTAAACCGATGCTGATCGCAGTGTGGGTGAGTCAGAGCAGGGCCAGTGTTGAATACAGTAAGGGTTAATCAATACAAGTTTGTCTCAGACCATCAGCTGGCTCCCAATATTAACCCGTTCAGTACTAAATGTAAGTTTCTACCACTTCACTCTGTCTGTGAAGTGCTTTGAGACACTTCACTTTCCTACGTGATACATTGGTCTGATCTGTGTAATATCGCATCATCGCCCGACATCATCTGTCCTACATCTGCCCAAGTCCCGTTCGAGAGTTTATATTCTACGCAAGTTTGACGTAACTCATACTTTGCATAAGTCGTACAAAATGTAGGGGGTCCCAACTGATACGGCATACGTGAGGTTTACCTTACGTAAGTGCAAGTTGTTGTTGTTGGTGGTGGTGTGGATGGACAGTTTGGAAGTGACATGTCATCAGTGTGTGACTGTTTGATTAACTGCGCTGTAAATGCAAGTAAATTTCCATCCAATAACTTTTGCGCCTCTGTGTTTACTGGGCCTATATATCAGTACTGGAGCAGCCTGGCTCTGACGTTCTCTGTCATTCCCTTCAGTTTTTTTACTGCAGAATTCTTCATTCCCTCTGTACTCCATTCCCTTATTATTATTATTATTATTAAAAAAAATGCTGCCACAGGCAAAGTTCTTATTATATAATATATTATTATTATTTTTGCGACATTGGCACTGACAAACAGATGCATAAATAATTAAATGAATGACTGTGTTCTGTAAACTTTTATATTTCGACCTGAGCAACAACGACGACAACAAATTACACTCACAAAGTGCCTTTCACGTCGGGAGGATGTCCCAAGGCGCTGGACAGTCAGGGATTTGGACCCAAACTGGGGGTTGGGATCAGAGAATTCTAACAAAAGTGAAGCAACAAACAAACTAAAAAAAATAAATAGCAATAGAAAGAGATACAGAGAAAGAGAGAGAGAGAGAGAGAGATAGATATAAAGATAGATAAATAGGTAGATGAAAAAGGAAACAAATCACATTAAAAATGAAAGAACGGGAAACAGCAAACACGAGCAGGAAACGCAGATGAGCCGAGGGCAGAGAGAGAGAGAGAGAGAGAGAGGTGTGTGTGTGTGCGAGGGGGGGAAGATAGAGTGATAGATTGGCCTTCATTACCCATCTCCAGGGCTCACTTACTTCTCATTCTCACTATTAGCCCCTGTTGAGCTATTGCAAGCATTAGAGACAGGCATCAGCCACGCACCAGCCTGAATAATCTCAGCTCAGCCACTAAGTAACCTACTCATTGGCTGGGACACTGCAATCGCTGTGATGTGCTAACTCTCTCTCTCTCTCTATCTGGGATTGGCTTTGGGAAGTCACTCTGTCCCTCTCTGGAGCCTGGCTGTCCTTTGGGAGAGTGGGGTGGGGGGGGGGGGGAGTTTGTTCTGCTGTGCGCAATTGGCTGCTGCGTTTCGCCCACAAAATATACAGTCAATTCACTTTAGGATATAAACTTTGAGGTTCTCTGAGACGTCTCGAAGACGTGATAAGGTGTTATGTCAAGTGCAAGGATTATTATTATTATATAATATAATTCTGAATTAGTTCTGTACCCCCTCACTAACCCCTATAACTGCCGGAGAGACACGTTCTACCATCCTTTTTTTTAATGACATTTTCTTTGCTCCCAAACGTGGGGAAATGTGATTTTCAGCTTGTAACAATAATAATATTAATCCTCGCATTCGACACAGCGCCTTATCACGTCTTCGAGACATCTCAAAGCGCTTCACAGGATATATTGTAAAGTGTAGTGACTGTGTATTTTGTGGGCGAAACGGGGCAGCCAATTGCGCACAGCAGCGTCCCCACAAACAGTCGTGGATTGAGTGACCGCTTTATAATTTTTTATAAAATTTGTTATATTTGTCCTGCAGCATAAACCCTGTTCCACGAAAACACTCAAGTCCCTTCCTTTGCGGAACCTGCATTTTTCTACTAAAAAAAAAACCCATAAGTGACAACAGAATGCATTCGCGCACAAAAAAAACATCGCACAGGAAATAAAATAGCAGCAACCCTTCCCCTCCTGCCCACCCACCCCCCACACCCCCGCCCCCCTCTCCTCTCCCCACAGTGTACAGACTTTGCAGCTAAACAGTGGGACATCCACATTTTTTTTTCAAAAGAAAAGCAAATTCAAATCAAATCCTTATGTCGTATTTTACCAAACGTTTCAAACAAACCAGTCTGCGTGGGCAGTGAAAGAGGCTTGATTTACGCAATGTGTTTTCCCTCGTGGTGCTTTGTGAGGATTCAGCTCTGAACCCTATCTGCCAAGATCCCTCAGTGACTGTCCAGCTGTCCCAATCGCCTCTCAACCCACATGGATATATATTCCGTGAAAAGCGATATTGTATTATATTGCAATATAATTGCTGTGCGCAATTGGCCGACGCGTTTCGCCCACAATATATACAGTCGATTCACTTTACAGTCTATTCTGTGAAGGGCTGTGAGACGTCTCGAAGACGTGATAAGGCGCTACATCAAATGCAAGGATTATTATTATTATTATTATTATTATTATTATTATTATTATTATTATGTGTATTCAGAGGGACATTAAAGATCCCATGTCACTATTCCAAAGAGAAGGGAGTGAATGCCGTTGGTGCCAGGGCCAATAATTCCTCAGTTAAATGGGTCGGTCATTCTTTCACGGCTGCTTGTGGGACTTTAAAACCAGGGTATAGTGGCAGCTTGAGCACTGCTCTGTATAAGATGCTGATGATACAGTGCCTTATCACGTCTTCGAGACTATTCTCGAGGGAATTGACTGTATATTTTTTGGGTGAAACTGTGTATCAGATATTAAACTGAAAATTTTCTCCACTAGAACAACAACAGCAAGTTAATAGGTCAGTTTCAGAGAGAGTTGTGCCCAGATGTTAGATGTCACCATTCTTCTCTCTCTCTCTCTCTCCCTCTCTCTCTATTGCTGCCTCATTATTGCTTAGTGTTTACTTCACTTAAATGGAATTATCTCTTGACTATCTGTTTACAAAGCATTGGCACGGCACTCATACATGGTTGATGGAGATACCCTGAAATCACATATGATTATGCTTTTTAATAAAACAATCCTTTGTGAATTATTGATTAAACCCATTCTTTTAGAATCACCCCCATCCGTGCAGAGTTACAGCATTTATCCACTTAAAATAATCTTGTGTATGCCTCTATACTGACCATAGTGC